TGGCTGAGCTAGAAACCAGCACCCCCACAGTATCATAAGTCAGGCCAGGCCAGATGTGCTGGGGCTAAGCTTAAATACAGCTCCTGGCCCATGGGCACAAATTGGCCCCAGGTGAGGCTTATGGAGGCTCACGAGGGCTTGTTAGTGCACCTGGGACTCTGACACCCAGTTTGGTTCAGGAAGTACCTATTATTACTCAAATGCAATCTCACAACAAATAACAATTTACCCTATGCTATTGTTTCCTATTTTTTAGATTATTACATGTTTATTTTGCATAATTAGGCACCGTGAGGGCTTGGGGTTTTACCACCTGATGGAGTATTCAGTGTCACTAATTCAGGCACAAGTGCTATTCCATTGTGGTTCACTAAGTCCTGCGACAGCAGACGTTACCACTGTCTTGCAGTTGTCCAAATTCCTGTCTTTCTCTTTTTTGTTGTTTTTGAAACTATCAGCATGCTGCAAAAAGAAAAGGTGTACAGGGATGTTTCTTTATGCATACGAGATCTGCATTCAAATCTCTTAGCAAACCATGATGCCTTAGCAGCGCTTTGGAAGCTAGTTTGAGTCTTCTCTTTGCAATGGAGAGGCTTTAACTGAGTGAGACTTTCTGGTTATCATTTCCTTAACAAATGACTCATCGTATTTAACATGCTTAAATTTGTATGTGGCATCAGATTTAGCAGTCCTGTCATTTGTATGTTACTAGCTGGTAGATTAGCTGTCAGGCCTAGAGATATTTATTACAGGTTTTTTTTTTTAGTTGTATGACTAGTGGTGCTGGATGAGAAATGATATTTTCTCCCTTAAAAAAAATAAACAGAACTTTAAAGATTATTTTGCAGTGTTGGTTAGAAACATTCATATTTTATGTATACAAGCATATGTATGTATATGTATACATGTATTCATATATATGTACATATATATTACATACATATATATTTCTTTAATAATAGGAGGATATAATTTAATAAAAAAATATAAATTATATTTATGTGTGTTATTTATGGTATTTGTGTGTGTTATTAAACACACACAAGAAGCATGATCCTAGCTGATACTTAAATCTTGTTTCATTTTTGGCATAATTTCTACCAAACTTCCGGAGCACAATACATGTCTGCTAGCAGTGGTAAGAGTTGTGGCAACCATTGTAAAGCTCCATACTTGGTTCCCAAGAGGAAAACTAATTTTTTTCTGTCAGTGGTGACTGCTTGACTCTTTAAAACTTAGTAAATTGGTTTTAGAAAATTATATTCTGGGCAGCACACAGTGACACTGATAGATCCTGGAAGTAACATTCTGCTGATGCTTAACAGCTGATTTGTGGCCAGATGACTAGGGGACGTCCCACCAAATTCACTCCATTGTAAAATGATCAATTTCAGGAAAGGGAAACTGCTTAGACAAATTGAACAGAGCTGGTTATTTTAAGTAGTTCAGTATCTTCACAGAAACAAAGGTATTTCAGAAAGGGCGAGGCATACATGCACTACCTGTCTTTTTTCTAACTGTTCTGCTGAGATGATAAGGCATAGCAGATGATCCATTTTAACATTAATGATATACTTTAAAATTAAAATAACAATGTTAACTCAGTTTTGTTCACCTGTAATATGTGTCAAGAAACAATATTCAGAATTTCTTGAAAGGTCTGTTGCAAGGCTGAGATTTCCTATTTTGCAAATAAAAATTTTCATTTTTCAGAAGTTTTGATGGGGATTAATCAGGAAACTGGGGAGCAAAACAGATGAGGTGATTGCTTTGTGTGTCTTGGGGTTTTGGGTTTTTTTCCTAATGGGAAATGAAAATCGTTTGAAAGTTTTGGTTTTTTTTTTAGATTGACACAATTTAGAAGTCCATAAATACAGAGAATGCAGCCCAAGAGAAAATATGCAGGAACAGTTACGCTGTGTCTGTTTCACTTAAAAAAATCCTTTATTTGTAGTTCAAAGTAGAAATGCAAGTACCAAAGTGTGTTTTATAATTTATGGGATCTGAACCACAAACTTGACATTAGGATGTTTACACTCTAATGTTGTTATGCTGTAGGTGTAATTCAGCTGGGGCTGCTATGTACTGTCCGGAAGAGCTTTACCAGCTTTTACAAGTGGCAAGCAAAAGCCCGTTGAATAAAAAAATCCAGATAAAGACTGTCTTCTGCAGGGCTAAACAGGGCTAGTTTTATTCAGGCTTTTCCCAGGGGATTAGTCTTCCCTCCCTACTGGGGTGACAGTGCTAACCTTTCTAAGTTTGCACTGTAATGTGGTGTTGTCGCACGTCAGTTTGTGTCAAAGGAAGGAACCATGTTGGCTGAGTTTAGCTAATCTAGTGCAGCCTACCATTTCAGATGGGATTATGTGTCTTCTGACTGTTTGCATAACCCTAGACATGAGTCACATTTTAAGATACAGTTTTTAAATATCTGAATTTTAGAGGCTTTTGGAGACTCGGGTTACAGAGGAGTTTTCCTCTGAGTCAGTTCTAGAGGAACTGCAGGTGAGAGTGCAGTTGTGGATAACTTATGGTTAATAACTCAGTCACATCTCACATACACTAATGAATATTTTGCCTGAGTGCCAGTTAATTTGATATAGCTGAGAAATTAAAACATAGCTGAAATCTGAAAGCTTCTGAGTCAGAAGTGTTTCAGATGCGTATGAGAATTTTTGTTTTTCCTTTTGAGTAGAGGAATATAATGGTTTAACTGGTGAATAAGAGACTATAAAGATAGTTCATATATTATGAGTATGTATACAAAACAGGAAATTATTTTATTTTTACTTTAAGTATCTGAAAGAATTTGCTGCTCTTGTTCAATTGGAAAAACGTTAACCTCGAGTTTCTGGAATGGATGGGGAACAGAAATCTGTTACTGTAATGATGTGCCTTATGTGATACTTGAAATTCTAAGGCAACTGTTTAAATTGACAATTGCAGGGAAATTATGCAATACAGCAGATCAAATCTAACTTAATATGGGATGAATAGGCTGAATATTATTACCAGAAGATTACTATTAAAATAGCATCTCAGCTGATGTGTGCACAGGCAATAAAGTAGTCATAGTTGTCTTTTAGTCAATGATGTACAAGTCCTAAAGATTTTAGTGAAAATAGATATTAAACATACTTTCAGAATGTTCCATGAAGTCTCAGCTTCCTCTTGAGAACAAATGCTACATGATTACCATTTGGATTAAAAGTCATGAAGAATATCTGAGAATTTTGAAATGCAGATCAGTGACTGCGAGCATCCTATCTCCTTTGTGATTGCTCTACATTTTAAAATGTTTGCATGGACTTCCAGATTTTCTTGTAAATTTTTAATCCAGTTTAATAAGCTTTCTGAAAATGAGGTCTGTTGAAAAACATCAAACTCCTTCACCTACTAAATGCATATATATATAATGCTTTTCCTTCCACTGATACTTAGAAGGAACATCTCCATCCATTTGCTTTAAAAGAATTCATTGACTGCCAGGACCTAGAATTTTTCCATTTGTGGAGTCCTCTTTTACCTAGGACTAAAAAAAGTCAGTGAAACTTCAACTGTGTGTGCAGGAGTACTTCTTTTGAAAAATTTTACTGATACATGGATGTACACATTAGGTAGCAGAGTTGAATAGTTTTGTGACTTCAGAATAATAAAACTATTTGTATGTCTATATGAACATGGCATTCTTATTTATGTTGCATGGTAGCTTGGCTGGATTTGGCTAAAATGTATGAGAAAGACGTGGACCTGTTGGAGCGGGGCCAGAGGAGGCCACAAAGATGGCCAAAGAGCTGGAACCCCTCTGCTGTGAGGAGAGGATGGGAGAGCTGGGGCTGTTCAGCCTGGAGAAGAGAAGGCTGCGGGGAGACCTTATTGTGGCCTTCCAGTGCGTGAGGGGGGCTGCAAGGAAGCTGGAGAGGGACTTTTTACAAGGGCATGGAGTGATAGGACAAGGGGTAATGGCTTCAAGCTGAAAGAGGGAAGATTTAGGTTAGATATAAGGAAGAAATTCTTCACTCTGAGAGGGTGGTGAGGCCATGGCCCAGGCTGCCCAGAGAAGCTGTGGCTGCCCCCTCTGTGGCAGTGTCCAAGGCCAGGCTGGACGGGGCTCTGAGCACCCTGGGCTGGTGGAAGGGGTCCCTACCCGTGGCTGGGGGTGGAAATGGATGATCTGTAAGGTCCCTTCCAACCCAAACCATTCTGATTCTATGAAAATATGAACTGTAAAGATAGCTGAAATACATGGTTTTAAATTAATGCTGCTTGTTTGGGTTTTCTCTGAAGCAGGTTGCAAACACCATAATTAATTGGATTTGAAAATTAAATGCTTCAGTTGAGAAGCATTTTGGTATGTATGGCATGTCCAGGTGGCTGCCTAAGGCAGGTGATCGTTTAAATGTTGTGAGCTGTGAGACATCTGCATAAGCAAAAACACAGATTAGTCAGATCTGGCTGAAGAGTAAGTAGTCCTTTCAGCTGTATCTTTCTGTCATTAATACTTCACGAAATTAATAAGGCATTTGAAGACAAGAAGTGGCACTACAGATGTGGTATATTAGCTTTTGGTCACAGTCCAGTGAGACTGATGTATGTAGCCTGATTCTTGGAGATATTTGTTCTGTATCACAAAACTATGAAATCTGACCAAATTCCATGCAGCCGACAGCCTCATCCCTGTAGAGCTAGCCTGTAGTCTGTCACAGGGACATGGGTGTTGGAGGCACAGACTGACTCCAGTTAGCGTTGCTTGTCAGGATATCTATGTACCCCGTGCTTTTGTGACTCTAGCAGCAGTAGTATTACTTGATTGAGCCCTGAAGCTCTTCTACTAAGATGGGCAAACCTCATTTTTTTTTAGGACAGTAACTTATTGATGCCAAGTTCAAAAACTTTTGTCTTAGACAGTGACCTTTGAGAATAATATGTCATTTAAAGTTCCGTAACTCCCTTCCCTTTCGTAATCACTCTTGAATCTTTTTGTTGTTTTTTTTTTCCAGAATGGAACAAACGGATTGAATACAAGCCTGGTTCTGGCAGCATACCTTTGTTTCCCCACATTCATCTAGAAACGTGTGATGGACCAGTTTCCTCGATACATACCACCATTGAATTACAGACCAGTTACATCGGAAAGGGCTGTGATCGTGAAACGTACTCAGAAAAATCTCTGCAGAAATTATGTGGTATGGATATGGCTTTCAGTTGATATAATAATAACAGATAAAGCACCAGTTCCTTGTGACCTGTAACGATGCAATAGCAGGATTTAGCTGAGCTGGTTCATTTTGGATTGTAGCAGTGAAAATGAAGTGAGTTGTGATATTTGAGTGGTGCTCCATTCTTCTTTTGCATTTGTTTTCACTGTTTTTTCATACCTTCTCCCTGCTATTTTTTTTTTTTTTTTGCTCTGCTCTGCTCTTCTCTCTTTCCTCATTCCTCCTCTTATGCTTTCTTCTCTCTGCTACTGATACTGGTGTGACAATGTAGTGAGATTTCAGGTATGGATTTGCCATCATAGGAAGATCTTAGTATTTGATGCGAATTGAATCTCCATCTTGTGTTTTAGTATTCCTGACTCAGCTTTCTGTTCTGCTGCCAAGTACTGTGACAGAGTGAAAACAAACGAAAACTAAAGGAACATTTGGGGCAATCATTTGAGCAAAAAATATTTAAGCAACATGAATTTCATAAAAGAGGTGTCCTGGTGAAGAAAGGCTTTCTAATGACTTTCTTCCCTTTTCCTGCTTTTTGAGAGCTTGGTCTAAAAGATACAAATTAATTTTGAAAGGTAGATTAAATACTTGAGGACACTGCTGTATTTTCGTGACTTGAAGATCATCTGTATGGCAAAGCAGTGGCCACATGTTAAGCCATTTGTCTTTTGCCTTTTGAGATCTGCTGTCTCTCCTCTTCCTCTAAAATCCTGCCTTCTTAGAGTCCTCATCTGAAGCCCTGATGGTGTGCAACATTGATTCTCATCTTCTCCAAAATGTCACTTTACCTGACTCCTATCCAAGCTACAGTAGCAAATTACAATTTTTTGCCATTTAAATCCATAGGTTTTGGTTTGTCGTGCTCTGCCGTATGGCTTACGTTTGCTTTTATAACCACACAACGGTGTCGCAGATATGTTAAGATCAATACAGTAACCTTTAAGAAATAATTTCATAAATTAAAATTTTCAGTCAGTGTTATGAAATTATTAAATATGGAGAGCCCATTCCCAGGGAGAAGTAGTTTGCAGTTACGATTACCAACTACCTGTGGAGACTGGGAAAGTGAGGTAAAGGTGAGTGGGAGTAGTAGTATCCTCATGAAATCTGAAGATTTTTAACGTGAAAATTGCTTAGTAAAGATTACAGAAACAAACATAATTTTAATCCTGTATCTGTATTTAACTGGCTGGGATCCTAGAAAAGCAGGAGAAAACCCATCTGCCAACAGTATGCATCTTCATCATGTTAATGACATCAAAACTGAGAGGTAGAGCAAGGCTGTGTGACCTGCTGAGGACTTGATTTCATAAAATACTGGCATTTTGTTAAAAATAAGTATGTTATAGCTAAAGTCCAGTACTTTTGCCTCCTCTGAGAAGCTGTATTGGCAGCACAAAGAACATTGCTTTATGCCTGTTACAGGCCTGAACTGCCAAATGGCACAGTCACTCAGAGCAGATCACTACATACACGATCTAAACCACCAAATGATTACATTACCATAAAACCCTATAGCAACTGTATGTGAAAATATTATCATTTTAACTGTAGGACCGAAAGTAGGTACCTTCTGCTGCTGTAAAATTCCTTAGCTGAGGAAGGTTGTGCAAAGTCTAAGGGTTTCAGTTCTCAGGGGGTCCTTTAACTAGCTTTCCTACTGACAATCAAGCAGCAGCAAAGAGAATTTCGAGTCTTTCTCTTTTCCTCCTCAATAAACCAGATGTACCAAATACTAGTCCAATCTAAATTCATTGCCTGCACCATGTGCAGGCCTAAGCTGGTGAAAAGCAGAATGATCAAAAACATTTCAGCAGGTCTGTTGATGCCATTGTAGTAGTTGCAGGCAGCCTTTGAGCAGGTGGACAGAGGTACTGTCTAATATTACTGCTCCAGTTTTTGCTCAGCACGTCCATGAAGGAACAGAATCTAAAGCACTTGAGAAAACAGGTAGAATTTAAGAAGTATATGTAAATGGGAGAGAAAATTCTCACTGCTGAAAGAACATTTTTTTTTTGTCCAAGGTTTCCATATCTTCATACAGAAGAACAGGTAGGATAGAGGCTTTTAATAGAAATTTTATAAAACGATTGTAAATGAAAATGAACTTTACATCAGAATTGCATTTGGACTAGCTTACACTTTGGTATTTAATATTTAAAACCATCCTTAATGTAGAGAGAATTCTTACGAAAGCAACTTAAATTATTTCTGGAAATCAGTGTTCTCGCAGAAATTACCTAACTGTATCTAATGGTTGGATGAATAAATTCTTTGAAAAGGAGGAAAGCCCTGAATTTTTTTCTGCCAGTAAAGTACTGTGCAACTGCAGAGGGTGCAGAACTGAGCGATCACAGACAAATATTATCTGTGCCAAATAAAATGCAAGATTCTCTCTCAATAATTAAGGACCTGGTTTATAAATCCATTGCTCATTTCTTCATTTATCTATTGGAAATCTAGAGAATTCAGATGCTAAGGACAGTGGATTAAAATTCATTTTTTATATGACTAATGGTTTGTCTGCCTTTCAGTAACCCAGTGACTTGTACTCACTTTGACAGTCAAGGTGTGCAGTCTAAATGATTAAATTACGGTTGAGTCATCTGAAAGTCAAGGAGTTATTAGTGTTGTGCCTTAAAGCATTTTAGTAAGCATTTTTTCACCTTGTCATCTGACAACAATAAAATATAAAGAGTGTATAAAAGACACAATTTGGACTGCAAAAACGTATCCAGAATAAATCTTAGTAAAAAAATAATCAGTTAAGGGGCCCAGAATATGGTGGAAAGATGGCTATGGTGCTTTCGTATTTGCCTCTAAATGTAGCTAAAACAGCAAATAATGGGATTGCTAATTTTCACGCATGGCAGACAGGAAACTGAAATGTGGAAGCACCGAGTATCAGGTTCAAGGCCAGTCTCCAGCTAAGAGGGTAGATCCTGCCCTCTCTCCTTTATCCTGGGCTGTGTAGCTTTGCAGGAGGCTCGAAGAAAGTTGTTGATCTGATTGATAAGTAGTAGTCTGGGCTTAGTTTTATTTGGGTGGTTAGCTTCTAGCTAAGCCAACAGTCTGGTCCAATTCAACAAGCAGCATCAGTATGTGCTTAACTTGGCACCAAGTTCGCAGTACGCACGTGAAGGGTGGGGAGAGGAGGTGGGTCCAGCTCTGTAAGTTGCTTGTGAAAACCAGCCCTGAAGTGTGCAAGGGGTACCTCAGGGATCTCAGTCCAAAGCTGCACTTAATGCAGCAGCTCCTGTGTCATTCTGGAAGCATTCTAGAAGAAAAGGGCATCAGCCCTACATTTTGAGAGACAGTGATCCAATAGCATGACCAGGGTACCACTTTGCTAATGATTTACTTTTGGATTGGGGGAGGGAGCTAAGCTGAATTGCTGAACTGTTTAAAAGTCTTAGATCTATCATTAGACAAGAACACATGGAGTTACAACCATCATATATCTGCGAGAAGCCGGCATTAAAGTGATACTATCTGTTCTAAGGTCAATAGTCTGTATGTGTTGACATTCATACCAACATTAGGAGACTTGTCCTGCATTCATCCCCACTGTACTGTATTTTGCAACACATCATCCCCGCATACCATGTATCTCCATACTGTCAGGGAGGGAAGATGCCGGCTGGATGTAGACAATTTGGTTTTAGTCTTAGCAGTTCTTGAAATAACTGAAGAAATGTCATTAATGAATTTTAGAAAATAATGAGCAGTTTCAAGAAATACTACTTTAATATATTTTCTGTAGTTTTCTGTGCAATACATTTAATCTGGAGAACTCTTACTGTGTTGCTATGGTCAGTATTCTATAATGTGTATGTGATTTGACAGTGAAGCTAGTAGGACCATTTGGGTAGTAAAGATAGTCTTAAAGAGTGTGAATCTGACCCTTGGCCTATATTAAATTAATCTTCACACCTTTTTCATGAGTCTCTCACCGTGCTATTCATTATACATCATTTGCAGGAGCTTCCTCAGGTGCCATTGACCTGTTACCGTCACCCCGTGCAACAACTAACTGGACAGCTGGGCTTCTCATGGATAACAATGACATAATTTTTAAATTTGATGGGAAGCAAGGAGCCAAAATCCCAGATGGAATAGTCCCAAAGAATTTAACTGATCAATTCACCATCACTCTGTGGATGAAACATGGACCTAGTCCAGGATTAAGAGCAGAGAAAGAGACTATTCTCTGCAACTCTGACAAGACCGGTGAGTCTGTGTGTTGAAAAAATGTTTGGCAAAGGGCATAAAAAAGTTAGTAGAGTGTTACCATCTCTTCTCAGCTAATTTGGTCTGAAAAAAAAGTTACTAAGCTGGGACGGTTCCACTCAAAACATCGTTGACTTGATAGTTTATTGAGGGGACTGGTGTCTGCGTATATTTCAAGCACTGGTTTTCTTCTTGGATAATCTCTATGAACACTTCTGTAGGAATTTGTAAGAATTGGTTGATAAAATAATTAAATTAGTTTTTTATTATTATTATTTGGATTGGGAAAAACAGTTCTAATCCTTCATTGAAACTAGTTAGATTAAATTTTGATTTGGATTTTAGTTACTACTTTGGACATAGCACTTCCATAAACAAAACAAATACAGTGTGATTCGGGAAGATGCTTACCATATGTGGCTTCCCTGAGAACCATAATAATCCATGATATTGAGAAAAGTAAATTCTTTGGGGTTTTTTTTATTTGGTTGGTTTTTGTCTTTTAGGTGTATATTGCTTTCCAACACATTCACTTAAGCCAAACTGTTGATGATAGTTCAGATCACTGATCTTACTGGTCCCTCCTTTCAGAGATGAACCGACATCACTATGCCCTGTACATCCACAACTGCCGGTTGGTATTTCTGTTGCGCAAAGACTTTGATCAGGCTGACACCTTTCGTCCTGCGGAGTTCCACTGGAAACTGGATCAGGTACCTGTGGTTTTGTCTTACGTGTAACCCATCCTTCTCTTCATCCCTGTAGAAATCATAGGGAACAACCCAAATCCTAGCACAACTGCTTTGGGAAATAGGAAATCTGTTGCAATTATGTTGCAACTTGTAACTCTTACAACTCTAATTAGGATCCACCTAAAAAGGGATAGGTGAGTTAACTTGGTTGCGTGATTTAATACAGTGGGTTCTTTAACTGAGTCATTTTAAACAGTAAATAGAGGTTTATGTCCTTTGGCAATGGATAAAGATATGACACTGCATATAGTTCCCTAAAAGTTTTCCATTTATCATTAAAAAAAACCCTTACTTTATCAGCACAATGGAAGTGATGGAAACGTTTTCAATAAAGAGTATGCTGACACACAGAAAGGCATTTGTAATATATTGTAAATCTAATCTGTAGACTTTTATTTTCATCTGCTGTGCTGTATGTAATTTCTCCTTATTATGAAGAATATATCGCAAGGAAATTATTAGTAAAGAGATAAGAGTTGCCTTTCATAGATTTATTAGTTCTAAGCAGGATAAGGATCATTTGGATGAAAGAAGACAGACTTCAGCAAAGTAGTATTTTCTCGAAGTAAGTTTCTTCATGTCTCTGAGTCCAAACTATGATACTGAAGATGTAGATATAGGAGTAGTTACTTTCCTAATTCACCTTCAAAATGCATAGAAAAAGATGATCTTTCTCGTGATTGTTGCATAAATGTGGTAAGAAACCATGAGATGATTATAGCACTTGCTTTTCATTTCTGTTAACCAGGTTGGAATCAGTTTCTGCTGTAGTTGATATGAAATCTTACAGTGTCTAGAAAGGGGTAATCGTATTGAAGATTACAAGTCATGAGTAACTGATGTCACCTCAGATAATGCTGTTCTGAGTGCAGAAGATGGATTTGTATTTTGAAACTGTATACTAAGCATCTAAATTAATGATGATACAAAATTTATGCAAAGTGTTTTGACTTTGAATGCAATCAACTTCTATATCGTTGCAATGCGAAAGGACCAGTGTCCTCTCAGTAAATGAAATTTGTGTATAACTCTTGTAACTTAGCCATGACAAAATACTGGAAAATGTACTGTCAAAGATAGTTTCCTGTTGACAGGGGATGTTTCTGACTGTGTGAAACAACTTTTTCATCTCTGTTGCCATCCACAACTACTTCATTCTTACTCTACTTTCTCCAGATCATTTCCATACTTCTAAAAAAATGAACAGGAAAAATGGCATAAACTGGAAAGTACAGGAATGCTAATGGCAGTCTATCCTGAGCTATTGTGTGTTCATATCAAGCAATTTTTTGTGTGTGATTAGCTTTGCACTGGAATTTGATTAGCATCCATGTTATTGATGAGCAACAGGTACTGTTTATATTTCTGTTTTGCCATTATTGCTTCCTTGCACAAAGTGCTGCTCATCTCAGAAATCTACTTCTGGATGGACTGTTGATTTGGGAAATCTGTATGAATTTGAGGGTGCATTGTTTTGAAACAACATGCTAAGAATGTGTGTATCTAAATAGTTAAGTACGTATGCTATTTTTTCTCTGACAAGGGATAAAGAATACTTTGAGCAACTCTACAAATTTTGTTTTGAATTAATAAACCTAGGAGAGTTGCACCAGCAAACAACTTCTCACATCTTCAGCTGACAATTAAGTAGAATCCCCAATATCTGGTGACAGGAACTCACTGCTGGTGATGTAAATCCTAGAGGAACCCAGAGATTTCAACTACAGATGACTGAATAGTCCTTGGAGATATTTTGAGATTTAATCAATCGTACTCTGAGTTATGTTTCTGGAGAGAAGTTATTTTGTTGAAGCCATCTCAGCAAGGGTATATACTAAAGGCAGTCCAAAGCAGTGCTTGACACATTAGCTCTTCATTTCTGCTCTTTGGTTCTGACTGTATTTTTAATTGTCTGTCACTAATCATTTGTGTAATCGAAAATATGGTCCTCATTTGTAGCACTACAAAAAAGCTGAGCTGCAGCTGGGCACTGAAGGGAGCACATTCCTAACTACCATTGAAAACTCCTACATGATGGAAACTAGAGATAGAAAAGATTTTTTAGGTCACATCATTCATTTTCTTTCATTCAGCTCCTTGTCAACTGATTTCCACAGTATATTTTCAACTGCTCTTTCTAGCTGAAAAAGACTGTAACATTAAAGTAAACTTTGTTATGGGCTGTGTGACCGGGCTTCCATGACGATTGATTTGTATTGTCACGATGATACTGTTGTAAGTTTTGTCATGAAGGGACTTGGTAAAGATTGCTTCTTTACCTGTTCTTCAATGTTCCATCTGGCCTATATGGTAGATTTACATTAAAGATATAATTTAATTTACATTAAAAGAAACTGAAAATAAAACATATGTGAATAATGGGCTGGTAAGGAACTGTCGGACTTTTGAAGACAAGGCAGTCAGAATTTTTCACTTCCAAGTGGTAAAATTATGCCAGTTTCTAACTGACTGCCTACAATGGTCTACCTTAGAAAGCACAGGATATTTTAAAACCACATGAAAAGGCAAGTTAGCATCCCACTACAAACTCCTCTGGATGTCAATATGAAAAGAAGCTAGGGCTAGATTTTCACAGAATCACAGAATCACAGAATAGTAGGGGTTGGAAGGGACCTCTGTGGGTCATCTAGTCCAACCCCCCCGCCGAAGCAGGTCACCCTCAGAGAGAAGAAGTTCCTCCTCATGTTCAGACGGAACTTCCTGTGCCTCAGTTTGTGCCCAAAAAAAAAGTAAAAAAATTTTCAAAAGTAGATTAACTGCTCTAGACACTTCTGAAAATCCTACCAGGTGATTATTTGCATATTTAGATACTGAAATACCTCTGGAAATCTCAGCTTCAGAACTGTTCGTTCTGTAGTAGCATATCCTCAGATTCCTTGCGTTTTTAAGAAAAGCATGGGAATGAAGCTGTATCTAGCTGTTGTACAGTTTCTCACCATCAGCACTGCACCGTGGTACGGGATGCTGTAGACAACATTGCATATATGACTGGAAGACAGTTCAAGAGTTGGTACCAAGCGCAGCCATAGCGGAGTAATATGTGGCAGAGTACTGTGTTGCTGAGCTCGCTTTATGATTGTAACAACAATCCATAGCTTGTTTTTGCCGAGAGGAATCCGGTGACCTTGGAACAGGGTGAAGCATAAACTAGTGGAATCATTTATCATTCTTACTGCAGGGTAGTAAATTTTATTATACCAGCTGCTTTGGGCTCTACCTAGTCCACGAGACTACTTGTTCTTTCAGGGCACTGACCAAGAATACAAGCTTATTGTCATCCCAAATTGAATTTAATTCTCTAGATCTCCTTGCTGTGGCAGGTGGGTGTGGCGCACAGCTGCAGACTCCGTTCTTGGCTGAGTACAAGGAGTCACATAACATTTTGTATTGCTGCACCTCAGCAGTGTGTCTGGCAGCCCTGTGATACAGTGCAGCCATCCTGACTGTCATGCCTAGCAAGTGTCTGCAGCCTCCACGTAGTAGCGGTTGCCAAGTTAGCTCTGGGGAGATTGTGCCGTTAGGTTAGTTCACAGACGTAAGGATTTATTTTCAGTATCGCTTTCAGTGTATTTAGCCCTGTTTGTTACATTAAAATTAATAGACTTTGCTAGGCTAGTTTTTTGCTTATTGTGCTAAGAATGCAGGACCTGAGAGTGCCGTAACCCTGGCCATATGTGCCTTTAGTATTAAACTGCTAACACGTGAGAGGAGTGTATCTGCAAAAAGTGCTAGTAATCAGGGGTAACAGACTTTAAACTGAAGGTATCCTTTTTACTTATAAGAAGCACAGGAAAAAAAGAAATTGATATAGTTTGGTTTTTTCCCTCACTTTCATCCTTTTGGAAATTAACCATCTTATTTGTGAGACAATCCATTAGTAGTAATCTGGAAGAAAATGTATCGCAAGAACCATGTTAAAGAAAATCAGTGTCGAGTCTCTAATGCATGCTGGGTAATAAACACTGCATGATTTTCCCAAACAACTGCAGTAGATGCCCTGTTTGACGTGGTTCCTTTTACTTATTCCCATTTTCTTGGAAGTGCAGGTGTTTCCTTCGTTTCAGAATCATGACCTTTTTTCTGAGTCTCCCATGCAAAGGTTTAAATTGAGTATCATCATGTGTTTGTCAACTTTTTTATCATTTCTTTCCTCACTTAACTGTAAGATACTCTTCACACCTGAGCACCTGTTAACAAAACTTCTTGTCACCAAAGTCAGTAAAAGGCACCTAAATCATCATCTAATTGTCTCAAATGGGTAGGAGCATAGATGGGGTTGTAAGTGAATGATTTAGGCAGCCAAATATAAATTTGGGCCATCTGAAAATAACATATGAAATATAAAAACTATTGGGGTTTTTTTTTGTAGAAAGCTGTGATGATTTATGTTAGGGTTCCCTTCTGTTGGGTTGCTTATACGCCTGTGTGCTCATCTCATGGACATGTGACTGGTTTGAAAAAAATGATCAGATTGTACAGCCTCCTCCTGCACACAGGGAATAAATGCATATGGGATGGATGCGGTAGGGGCCTGAGCTTTCTGAGCTCCATACAGCACAAAAGTACCCTTGGAGACTTGGGAGTTGGTGAACTTCTTAATGTATATCTCTGATCATGTTTCCTTTCAGCCACCGGTGCTACGCCCAGCCTTGTCAAATTCCTTGATGCAAGTACACTGGGACTTTAAAAGAGATCAGTTTATAATGAGATTATGTATATTAGGAATGGAGTTCTGTTGAAATCAGTGGGAAAACGTTGAGTGATTTTAACAAGGGCAGAATTTGACCCTAGAAATGTTTTAAAAAAAATAAAATCAAGTTGTCTCACTTCTTTTTCTTTCAATGCAAAGATATTTTCAAAAGCACTTCAGGGAGCTCTGTTAGCAACTCTGCTGTAAAGGTTCAAACTAGTGCCCCTTCCTCTCATTGTCATCCTCAGGA